ACATACCCACAGCCCCAGAGCAGGCCTTGGACACGTGGGGCACTGGGATTTGAGCTAACGGCTTGCAATGGACGGGGCCTGAGCCCTAAGCATGGCCACCAGCTCCTGCGGCACCCACCCTGTCCAGGGGACACTGCGCCTGCTGCTCTGTTCCCTGGCAGGGAAAACCGAGGCTCCCGCCGGTGACACGTGTGCCCGGCATGCTGCGGCTACGCCCCGAGCACGGGGCGGCCATGCCCCCGGCTGGCTGCCAGCGTTGCTCTCACTGGGCCCGAGCAGCCGGGAAGGGCGCGGGGAGAGCCCGGGAACTCGGGGGGCTCCGCCCGGCCGGCGCGGCACAGCCAGAGGATGCTCCCCGGATTCCTCAGCTTCTTTCGGGAAGCACCAGGCGGGGAATACACCTCCCTTCCCCGCACGCCGACCACTTTGCCCGCGTCGGGGAGGGGCAAGACGGACTCGGCATCCCGCTGTGCGGGCTCGGGAAGGGGGGGGGGGGGTCTCCTCCGCAGCCCCTCGACCACGCAGGAGCAGCCTGGAGGGGGGCAGAGGCGCGAGGCTCCTCGAAATCTCAATAAACGCAGAACGCAGGCGTCCCCGGGTCCCCCCCGTCCACACAGCAGCGCACTCGCACCCAGCGCCCAGCCCGGCGCCGCCAGGTCCCACCGGAGCCAGTGACAGCAGCGGCGGCGGCAACAGCGCCGCGCCCCAGATCTGCCCCGCAGGCAGAGCCACTTACCCGGGGATAAAGCCCCGCTTCCCAGGTATAACCCCTTGGTGCGGCTCGGGGAACCCTTCCCTCCCCGGAGCACACCAAATCCTGCACCCTAGGTTCCTCCACCGAAACCGGCAGGTGCCGGTGTCCCAAACCGCCCCCTCCCCGCTCCCCGCAGCCGCAGGTGGCACAGGGCGGCGCCGGGATGGGGAGACCTCGGGGGAATGGCTGGCCCGGCGTCACCCCGGTTCCCACTCCCCAAGGCCAGGGCGTCATCTCCCACGGCGGGCACCGACCCCCTCAGCCCCGCCGGGTGCCGGGACTGCGGTGCTGCCCCCCCTTCCCGGGGGCTCCCAGCGCCGCCACGGCCCCACCCGGCGGGAGAGCCCCGGACACCCCCCTCCTCGGCCCACAGAAGGGGCGCCCCACTCCGTGTGCGGCGAGGGCGCCCCCGGCCCGCGCTGCTCCCCCCATCCGCCACCGGCGCGCCGGGCCCGCTCCCGGCACACGTGGTGCCGCCGCCGCGGGAGCCGCCCCGGCCTCCACGTGTCACGGCGCGGCCCGGCGCGCGCGACCGCCGCTCACCTGCAGGGGGCTGCCAGCGCGGAGGGGCGGCTCGCGCAGGGCTCCGCCGCCCGCCAGACCCCGCGGAGCAGCCGCGGCGGCACCGCCGCCGGTCCTGGCCCCGCTGGCTGCGGGCACCGCTCCGCCCCGCCGCGCCGCCATCTTGGCGCCTCCGCTCCCGGCGCGGCCACTGCCGGGCGCGGCACGTGACCGCCGCCCCCCCCGCACTACAGCTCCCGGCGGCCCCCGCGCCGCCCCGCCTCGCGCGCGGCACGCCGGGAGCGCACCCCTTCGCGGCCGGCCGCGCGCCCAGCGGCGGACGCGGGCCCGAGGGGATGCCGGGCCACGGGGGGGGTGGGCAGCCATCTTGAGCGCGGGCAGCGCCTCGGGCTTCGCCGCCATGTCTCTGCCGGGCGGGGGACAGGAGGATCGGCCCCGCCACGCGCAGCGCGGTGGGCGGGGCGGCGCGGGCGTCACTGGCGGGAGGCGCCCCCTGGGGGCGGGGCGGGCGCGGGTTTTCCCGCGGCTCTGCCGCACACGTGGGCACGGCCGGCGCGTGGGCCCCCGCCGATCCCGGGGGGCTGCCGGGAATCAGCGACAGCGCTGTTCCAGCCCGCGGGCCGTCTCACGGCTGTGGGCTTGCCCCGTGCCGGAGGTGCCTGGGCGGCAGAACCATCGGTGCTCCGCTGGGGTCAACCTCGCTCGGGACTGCTGGGGGTGACACGCACGCGTGGCGGGCACGGGGAAACGGAAAAGAACTATCGGGAGTGAAAGGCGGGATGGGCACCGTGAGCTGACCTGCAGCCTTCTGGCACAGCTGTGGAACAGGACTGGGTAGCAAGGCACTGCCTGTGCCTGTGCTGCTGTGCAGAGGTGGCACACAGAAAATCGCCTGGAGGACGTGAGATATAGGAGGGACTCAAAACTCGGCGCATTGGACACAGCTGTGGTCCAGCCCCGCTCCTCAGGAGGGATAGGGTGGACCAGTGTGCACAGTACTTGGCCTGCCCGTTCAGTACCCTCTGTTCAGTAAGCCCAGAGTCCCTTTGGGGATGTCATCTCCTGTGGCTCTTTCTCTGGCTCCCAGATGGCAAGATCATCTCGTGGAGCTGAGGGATTTGCTTACAGCACCACAGGTGCAGCACAGACATGTGGCAGAAGCTCTGCAGTGCAGGGTTTGCCTGGCAGGACCTAATTGTCCTGGCCTCTATGTCAGTCCCTGGGGCACAGACCTGCCCAGGCCAGACTCCCTTGGGGATCCACAGGATAAAGCTTCTTTGTTCAGCCTTGTGTGCCTGGTCATTAAACTGGCCTACGTCTGACACACAGAGCCTCATCCTGCTGCTCTCCTTCCTTACACCTGTGCCACAAGGGACTTTAACCTCATCCCACGTCACCACCTGCCTGGCAGGGGTTGTTCCTCCCTGCTTTCATCCAGGGAAGCTGCCCACCTTCTCCTCCAATGAGGCCCATAGCACCTTCAAGCCTCTCAGTGGCACTCTGGCCAAATGCAGCATGTCTTCCTCCAGGGCCGGGGTCCGTGTGAGCACTGGAGAACACGTGATGGCACAGGGGGACATGGGTGCACCCTTGGAGCACAGGGGACTGAGCTGGTTGTAACAGGTTTGTCAGGCTAGCACTTGCCCCTGGCACTGCGGAGGAATCAGGGGAGCCTGGGCAAGTGCTCTAGGCTTTCTGTGGCCAAGGAGGGGCTGCCCCTCTGGAGGACGCTTTGCTGCTCCTGAGTGCAACACATTTAAAGCAAGGAACAAGTCACTTTGGAAATGCCTATTTCTTTCTCCACTGGCCTGAGGAGAGGCCATCCATGGCCAAGCACCCAAGGACCTGCCAACAGGGATGTGGAACAATGTTCCCCTTTGGAGCCCCACAGCTTTCCTCCTCCTGCTGTGCACCCTCCTCTCCCTCCCTGTCGGCTCCCTGGGGCACATCCAGGGCATGCAGTGACCTGCCTAATCCCTCTGTCCCTGTGTGTGGCAGAACTCTGTGGCACAAGGCCAATTTCTCACAGAGCAAGCCTAGCCTGACGTGGGACCTGCCCAGGGACCATATTCCCCGCACATGGGGTCCTTGTGGTGTGACCAGAGGGAATCCCATGTGCAGGAACCTCCCTTCTCCAGCACAACCCCCAGCAGGGATGCTCTCCAGGCACAGGCCAACACCAGGCATTCCTGCTGGTTTACAAGGGAAAACAAACAACAGGCAGAAAGGAAAATGCGCATACTACATCCCTGGCTCCCCTCCCTGTGTTGTCACCACTCCCCGGCCAGGCACAGCTTGATGCCGCCTGGGGCAGCCTGTGCAGCACCCAGGGTGGGCAGCTTGCTTGAAGCTAATGGGCATAGCTTGCAAAAGAGAGCTCAAACCCTTGTGATGCTTGGAGGACACTCATCGAACAGGAATGTGAGTCCCACCCAGGCAAGAGTGGATGGGCTGGTGTTGGCTCTTCACAGAGGAGAGGGGGCTCAGGCTCCACCAGGCAGTTTGGTCAGCCCGGGCTGCTGCTCCCACCATGGGGCTGGGGCTGCATCTTTGCAGGGCAGCAGAAGCACCTGCCCTCACAGGGGCCATGCCAGGCTCTGTCCCACCAGGTGTCGTGCAGGGTTCTGCAAGAACCAGTTGCGGCTGGGGCAGGATCCCTGGTGGGATACACTTGGGGTGGCTGCACCCAGGGAGACCCTGTCCGGATGGCACTCCGCTCCTTCTGCCCTGGCGTCTCTCCGGCCCCAGGCCTCTCCACGGGTGCCATCACATCCCTGCCCCGCACAGGGTACAGCACAGACCCGAGCAGCTCCAGGCCTCCTGCCTGGCAGCTCCTGCCATCCCTGCACAAGGTGCAGCAATCGCCAGCCACCATGTCCCGCATGTGCCAAGCGCTGCTGCGAACCTTCTTCCTTCCCCCCCCCTGGCCCTGCCTGGCCCCTTCCCTCCCACCCACAGCTGCCCTGGAGCTGTCTCTCCCCCGGTGCCCTGGGCTGGGAGACTGACCAGGCATCAAAAAAGCACCAGCCCCATGCCAGCTCTGTTCCATGCCGAACACGCCTGGTGTGTCCCCCTCGTCCCCCCGAGTGGAAATCCTCGCGAGCACCTCCCTGGCCTCCCCCACGGGCGAGGGGGACCGGACGGCCGCCTCAGCCCCGCGCCGCCCCCCAGCCCTGAGGACCCTCACCTACCCCCGGGAGTCTGGGAACAACGCTCCCCCTCCCAAGCTGCCAAACCCCAGGGGCAGCGCCCTCAAAGCTGAGGGGGGAACCCTTACCCCTCTGCCCCTTCCTTCCCACCCCCACCAGTGACCCCTCACACACCGCTCCCCCCCGACCCCTCACGGGGGCTGCCGGGGGGGCGCACGCGCGCGGGCAGCCCGGGGGAAGGGGGGGGGGGCGGCGCGCACGCACGCAGCACGCACGCGCTCGCGGGGGGGGGGGCTAGGGGGGAAGCGGGGGGGGAGAACGGGACGCCCCGCGCACGCGCAGAGGCGCCCCCGCCCGCCCGCCCGCCGCCGGCGCAGCCGCCCCCGCCGCCGCCGCCGCCGCTCCCGCTCCGCCGCCGCGGCCCCCGCCCCGAGCGCCCCCGCCCTGAGCGCCCCCGCCGCGCCTCACGCCGCTGCTGCTCCGTCGGTTCGCGGCGCGCCCGCTCGCCCGCCCCTGGCCGCGGCGCTGCCCACCGCCCGCCGCGCCGGAGCCCGCGGCGCGCCGCCCATGCGAGACCCCCGCGGCCCGGGCAGCGCGCAGCGACCCCCGGCCGGGCCAGGCATGTGAAGATGTCAGTGGGCTGTGCATGCCCTGGTGAGTGGCGCGGCGCGGGGGCTGTCCCTGGGGCAGGGGTCCCTGCGGCACTGGGGCTGGATGGTGGGCTGGGGCCACTTGTGGGGTGGGGGCCGCTGTGGTGTCGGTGTTGGGGTCTGGCTCCACAAAGAATGGGGGCTGGTTATGAGGCTGTGGTCCCCTCTGCATTGGTGCTGGTGTCCTGCTATGGGACTGGGGTCTCCATGGCATTGGTGCTGGGGTCTGGCCGTAGGGCTGAGGTCCCCGAGGCATTGGTGCTGGGGTTCCCATGGTATTGCTGCTGGAATCTCGCTGTAGGGCTGGGATTCCCATGCCATTGATGGTGGGGTCTGGCTGTCGGGCTGGGGTTTGCATGGCACTGGTTCTCGGACCTGGGGCTGGGGTCTCTGGGGCATGGCTGCTGGGAGATGACTGTGAGACAGGGGACACTTCCATGTGGGTGCTGAGCTTTGGCCATGGGGCTAGGGTCTCCATGGCACTGGTAGTGGGGACCAGCTATGGGACTCAGCAAAGTGTGGGCACTGGAGTCCCAGCACTATGGTATGGCCATTGGGTCCAGCCTTGGGAATGGGTTCCCCATGGTATGGGCTGTTACAGTCTAGCTGTAGGCTGAAGTCCCTAGGGCATGGACACTGGGGTCTGGTTGTGAGGCTGGAACCCCATGGCATGAATGCTGTGCATGGATCCTGAGGTCTGTTGGACCAAGAGGTCTAGGACCCTAGAGCACATGGGTGCCGATCCCAGCCCTGGGGCTGGGACCTCACAGGCAGGGTGCTGCAGAGGTGTTGGGTAGGCACACAGGTGGCACTGTGAGGAGTGACCCCAAAGTAGCCCTGTGGCTGGAGCTCTGTGGGGTGCACCTGGTCCCCACGTGGGCATGAGGCACAGTATCCCTGGAGGGGCTTGGCCATGCTGCTGGTGGCAAGGGTGCTGCATGCCCTGCCACCATGGCCATTGTGGGGTGTCTGCTCAGAGGCTTCTTCCTGGCTGTGGGCTGGTGAGGCTGCTGGAGTACATAGGAGGTGTGATGAGTTGGTGAGGTCTCAGCACCCAGGAGGGTGCTCCCAAAGGGATGCTTATCTGGACGCCCGGACTTGGGGGCAGGTTTGAGGCAGCTGGCCCAGCTGCATCAGCTGCTGCTGCATGCAGGATATCATTATGCCAGGAACAAGGCAGGGCAGGGGTCCCAAGGGGCTGCCAGAGCCTTCTCCAGCACCAGGTCCCCTTGGCCCTGGGCGGCGGACAGGGGGAGCCAAGTCCAGGGGGCCCTGCTGAAGGGACTCTGCCGTTTCCCTAGGCATCTGGCACTTGGGGTCCCTGCAGGGGGACAGTGGGGATGCTCCTCAGCCCAGCTTCTGTGACAGCATCCCTGTGGTCCCAAGAGAGCCTTCTGCCAGGCCAGGACCCCCATGCTGGGGGATTGCTGGGGGCAGTGGGACGCTGTGACAGCGCATGATCCCTGTGCATCCCCTGGGGCCACCTCTGTTGAGGGGTTTGTAGCTGGATCCCTGGGGTGGGGAAGGGGTTGCCCCTGCGTGGCAGCCCCCCACCCCTGTGCTGCCTGCGGCTTGCCACCGTGTTTCCATGAAGGCAGGCGGCCCCTTCCCCCATCCTCCTCCTCCATCTCCCACTGGAAGCTGCCAGAGCGCTGCTTCCTCAAGCAGAAAGTCACGTGAACCTCCCTGCGAGCCAGGCCGAGCAGCCACAGCACCCGCCCCGCAGGCACCCCGCACCGGGGGCACGACACCCCTCCTGACACCCCCAGCCTTGGCGGGGGTCCCGCCTCGGCGGGGCAAAGGCCAAGCCACAGCTAACGGTGGGGCCCTGTCACATCCCCCGGGAGCCGGCCCTGTGCCACCGGGAATGTCATCGCCATGTTGGTGGGCGCAAAGAGGGGGGTCCTCCCTCAGTGCGGTGATGAGGGGCCACGGGGTCACCCCGGACCTGGGAGCATCCCTGTGGACGGCTTCCTGTGCTGTGGCCCCCCCAACGCTGCTGCTGCTGCCCACTCCCCCGCGGCGGGGAGGACACGCGGGTGCGTGCAACGTGCGTGTGCCCCCCGCCTTTCCCCCGCTCCCCCGCTGGGGCTGGGTGGCACATCCAGAGCCTGCGCCCCCTCCCCCTTCCCCTCCCCGGACTGTTTATCGGAATATAGAAAAAACAAGCTCTGCCGCTGGCCTCCCGCCAGCCAGAAACATTTAATGAGCCGCTCTGCCCAGGCTGCTCTTCAGGGCTGCATTAACTTGGAGGAGTTTCCTGCTTGGGAGCTGCTGCTGCGGGGGGGTTGGCTGCCCCCCTTCGAAGTTGTGCCTTCTCAGGGGGCTTCGTATTCCTTGCCATCCCTGGGGTTGCATCCTGCCCCAGTGCACCTCTACTAGCACCCCTCTGGGGATGTTTCCTTGCTCCTTTCCTCCCTCCCTAAGAGCTTTGGGACGGGGAGGCTGTGCAGCTGGAAACCTGACGCAGTCCTTGTGCCAGAGAATGGTGTGGAGCTGCTGGGGCCAGTGAAGGGCTGGGGGGATTTTGGCCCCCACCCCAGATGTGGAGAGGTGAACAGGGAGAGTGTGGCAGGCTCAGAGAGGAGCTGGCGGAGGCCAGGGCGGCAGCTGCCCGGTGCTGGTGCCGGTGGTGCTGTGGCTTGGGCTGCTCTGCTCAGCCCTTTGCACCAGGCAGGGCTCGGCATCCAGACCTCAGCAGGGCCCTGACCCCTGGGGGCACTGCTCGCTCTCCCAGCATGCTCTGCACTTTCTTTCTTAATTATTTTTATTATTATCATTATTTTTCCCCCTGTAGTGATGGTGTCAGTGCAGAGAGGGAGGAGGGGAGCAGAGCGAAGCAGAGCTGTTCTCCCTCCCTGCAGGGCTGGCTCCAGCTTCATGGCAGGGAAGCAACTTTCCCAAGGTCAGCACCTTCCCTGGGATACCTTGCAAGGAGCCAGCCTGTGCGCCACTCGTCAGGAGGGAGAGCTTCCCAGCCCACATGCTCCGGGTCCCGGGATGGACGTGCCTGGCCAGGGCACGGCCCGCTGCCGTATCCCTCCCTTCTGCCAAGCTGGCGCCATGCGTCCCCCACCGTCACGAGGCCGAGCTGTGCCACATGCCTTCTGCGACAGATGCGCTGGGAGAGGGACAGCGGCGAGCGGGCTGAGTGCCGTGGCGGGGGGGTCAGGCAGCCCTGACCTGTGTTGGCTCTGCCTCCCAAATGCCCCTGGGACTACCTACCACCTTGGGGTGCACCTGGACCTGCTGGGGGCAGGAGCAGTGGGGGTTCCAAGGCTTCATCGAACACGTCTGTGTGCTCCTGTCCAGGCTCTCTTCATGTTACCAGCAGTGTTTGGATGGAACATGCCGCTAGCCCTGTCCCCCTCTGCAGCAAAGTGCCCACATGGTAGATGCTGTCTGTGCCATGTTGGCTGCCTGCACCTGGCACACTCCAACAAAGTCAGGACGGGGTTGTGGCTATGTGGTGCTCAGCAAAGTGATTTCTCAGAGTCTGGTTGCTGATGTGAGGTTGTGCCATCACAGCTTTCCTTAGGGCTGGTGCAAGCTCACCCAAGATTTGCCTGGAAAAATGTGGATGGGTTAGCTCTGTGCCAGTGGGCTCAGCACTGTTTGTCTGCGCAGGGCCCCGAGTTTATTCCAGAAATGTTATCTGCTCAGCTCAAACTGCTGTGAAAGCTACTCCTTGAGGAGTGAGTGAATGCCCCAGCAGAATGGGACCCCCGGGGCAGGGAGGACTTGTGGCCAGGAATGCACTGGCCAGGCAGCTGCATGCCCCCAGGCAGGGCAGGAGTCACAGCACAAGTGTCCCATGTCCTTCCCTTGCCTGTCAGCTCACTCGATTTGATGCCACCCTCTCCTCCCCTGCTCAGCTATAGGGTTGCCTAGCCATATGCATGTTTATTGTACACACAAGGCATGGGTCTGCGTGGTGTGCCAGCAGCATGCTGGGAGCACTCTTGAACAAGCATACCCGTGCTCAACAACCATTGGTGCGTCCTGGGGCACACACTGCACCGCCAGCACAGCCTGTGAGAGCCCCTGGCTCCGCGTGGGGTGACACTGGGCCTTTGGGGCCACCATTGTGCGTGGTGTGGATGCATCCCTGGGCCCGGGAGCAGCGGGTATGGGGGCAGCTCCCCGGGCGGTGGGTGCAGACAGGATGGGGCTGGGTGACCGTTATCAGCCTGCCCGCAGGCTGCGGCTGTGGTTTCCTGCCGGTGCCTGGGGGAGGGTGCTGGGGAGCAGGCAGGGCTGCCAGGCCCCACCTGGAGAGGGGGTGGCAGCCACTGTCTGCCCCTCTCCTGGGGTCTCTGCTGGGCAGGGTTGAGGTGGATGCAGCAGGGGTGATGCTGGCAGATTTTGGGGAGGTTCACTGCAGCTCATGGGGGTGTGGGAAAATGGGCTGTGCACTGGTGTGGGGTGTCTCCCTTGAGCAGGGGTGTGCTGGTGGGGGACTAGGACCCCTAAAGAGCTGTCAGACTGTCCCCTTGTTGCAAATTGCCCCCTTTCCTCCCAGGCAGGTCTCAGATCGGGGCGAACGTTAAACCCAGGGTGTAATCTCCCCCGTGGCAGGCGCTGGCCCCTGCCCAGACCTGCCCCACCCTGCCTCCGGGGTGGCCGATAACGCCCTGCCTGCACCCCTCTGCTGCCACTTTCCTAGGGGGCCCTGTGGGGCGTAGCTCCTGTCCTCACTTTGCAGGGTCTTGCTCTGCCCCTGGCTTTGTGGAACACAGGTCCCAGAGGTTTCCGTGCACCAAGGTGACACTGTCTGTGCCCAGGATGGCCCCACGGTGAGGGGGTGGTAGGCAAGGGGTGGGTTGGGGCCCCTGCTTTCTGCAGGAGCAGCAGCCTCGGCCCCCCTACTACACACTGAGGTGCTGGTGTTGTGAATGCAGCCGGGTTTCTGCAGCGCAGCCCAGGTGCAGATGGGACATGGTGCTTGCAGCCCAAGGCAGGCTAGGACGTTGGCAGTGCTTGGATACTATTTGATGAGCCTAG